ACTTTTTCACTTTGTTTTTAATAATATTAAAAAATGTATGATATTATGATTTCTCATTAATCTTAAGGCACAACAGGTCGGACTCATGACTGAAATGCACAGCTATTTGGTAACACTACTGGTAAATTATATATACTTATATAACTTATATAAATTATATATGCTAGTATTATATATACGAAAATGAAATATACATGTAGATTTACATTCATTAATTATGTGAGCTTAAACATTTAAACATATATATATATATATTTCGCTGTCATACGCGTAAACAGCATTTTTGTTCATTTATTATTTAATATTAAAAATTTTTAGGATATATTTTTCGGCACAGATTTAAATATAAAATATTTTGGAAAACAAAAATGACTTTTCATTTGTCATCACATTTTTAATACCATTTAAACGACTAGTAATACTACAGTACTATACTGTATGTCACGAGTATTTTAGTCCATTTTGCGAGTATATTTATTATATAACATAAACTAGACATAAACCCCATCGCATTTAACTAGCTATATATTTATACACAACACCTATATATTACATGTGTCAACCGATATATTAGTTAACTACCGAAAAGTAAAATAAAAAGTAAAATCGCGATTGACTTCATAAATAAAGTCCAAACAAATTATCGATTTTTGGTTTTTGTGTTACTTGTATATTATATACTAGCATACAGTTAGTATATCTGTTTTTTCTGCTAGTATATACGTGTATTGTATATTATTATAAATTTTAGTCATGTTTTCAATAACATTGGCAGAAATTGTTATTTGAAAAGTTATAGTATCGGAGAGAAAATTGAAGTGAACAAAAATATTATGTGAGCCAAAAGCCTAATGTAAAACTCCTATTCTCTCTCTCAGTCTCTCTCAGACTCTCTCTCTCTCTCTCTCTCTCCCTCTCTCGAAAACATAACAAAATATATACACAGAAAAATTGATAGACAAGAAAATATTTATTCAGTCATGTTTTCAATCATACAGTAATAGCTTCTCGCTCTCATCTCTCGGATAATATATAATATATTTCTTTCTCAGAAATATTAGTTCAATATATGATATATCTCTCGATTTCTAGTGAAAAGTCTCTCTCTCTCTCTCTCTCTC